GATGGAAGGTTGTTGGGGGTCAACGCCTAGGGGTTCCCAGTAGGTGAGAGGGGGCAGGCTGGGCTGAGGGACACTCCCCCCACCCCCACACACCCAGTGCACGAATTTTGTGCATCGGGCCCCTAGTTATTAATAACTAGTTAATTACAAAGGTATCAAGTTTAGCCTTACATATTCAAAGACCAGTTGCCTTTGAATAAAGAACCCTCTGCTTGTGATCCCTAGGGGCTGGTTGCATCTTGATCTCTATCTACTGTTTTTATGTCTATCTTCATTTTCTCTATCATCTCCAGTCTGAAAGTATAGTGTAGTTAAGAGCATGAGCTTTGGAAACAGCCTGTTAAGATTCAAAGTCTATTTCTGTAACAGATTGGCAATGTAACCTTGTGTGGGTTACTTAACAACTCTGAGTCTTAGTCTCCTTCTCCATAAAAATAGTGGCTATAATAGTACCACTGCATGTTGTTGCTGTAGGATTATATTAGGCAATCCATGCAAAGCGCTCAGAGTGGTGCCTGCCATAATAAGCACTCAATAAATGTTTGTTTTTATTAATATACAACAACAGCTTTTTCAAAATTTTAATTCACTTCTCAAGAACAGTTCTGCTGTGTTTTTTTCTTATCAGTTTAGAGAACTCAGAAAGAGGTTTTTACTTCTAATTGCTTTCAGTGGTTAGGTGTACAACAGGCAGGTATTTATATCTTGCCTCAGTAAGTCATTCATATCTGGTTCAAGGAAGTGGATTATTACTTAAAACCCTGGTTATTTCCTTAGAGTTGAACTCCAGACTTCTGTAACCAAAAGCCTGCTCAACACCTACATTTAAAATTTGACATGTCCACATCTAAACTCCTAATCTTTCTCTCCCAAACTTCTTTATCCTGCAGTCTTCCCAATAAGTAAATGGCAACGCAATTGTTCCCATTGCTCATGTCAAAAGTTTTGAAGTCATCCTTGATTCCTCCTTTTCTCTCATACTTCTACCTAATCCATAAGCATATTTTGTCAGTTCTACCTCCAAAATATATCAACTATCCGACCATGTTTTCACTACTTCTCATCATCTCTGGATTATTGCAATAGCCTTCCAATGGTTTCTCTGCCCATTCAACGGCCTTCTGTCAGATCATGTCACTCTGTTCAAAACCCTTCAACTGCTCCCCTTCTTACTTGAAGTAAAAGCCATGTCCTAACAGTGACTAACATCATTTGAACACTACTCTTCCTATTTGACCTAACTACTCTGACACCTCATCTCCTACTACTCTTTCTTACTCCAATCCAGCCATACTGGCCTCCCTGCTTTATTTGAACACACCAGGCATATTCCCAACTCAGGGCCTTTGCACTTGCTATTCCTTCTATCTGGGATCCTCTTCTCCCAGAAATCCACATGGCTTACTTACTTCCTTCAAGTTTTTGGGTTAATGTTAGGATCTCAAAAGTGAGGCCTATTGTGACTACCCTCTCCTGGCGCTTAAAAAAAAAAAAACTACACTAATAAAAGAGAAATATGGTAATTGGCGTACGACCGCTACCCTTTTCATTGGCTAATCAGGGCGATATGCAAATTAACTGCCAACAAAGATGGCGGTTAATTTGAATATGTAGGCACAATGCAGGGAGGTGAAAGGGAAAGCAGGAAGAAGCCATCTGCCACTGACAGTGATCAGAAACCAAGGGGGGAGCTAAGAGCTGGGGGGCAGGGCAAAGGCGGCCCTGGGCTGCCTTTGCCCTGCCCCCCAGCCATGATTGGAGAATCAGGAGTTTTTGCCTCCCTGGCCCG